CCTCCAGAGAGCCATGACAGGATCGAGAGGTGAGCGAAACGCCGGTATGTGTTCGCTCACCTCCCGATCTCCTGAGCCGACCTGTGACAGTCTCATTGTCACAGGTCGGCTAGAACTATGGGGTGAGTGAAAAGCACTCCCCTCATAGTTCTCCTTTAGCACCTTCTAGCTCCAATTATGCAAACCCCTGGTTGCGATTTACAGATTATGTGGATTGGAGCGACATTCACCATATTTATTCCCAGAGAATTTGTACAAGTCATTCTGAATGGAGAAAGCTGGTCGGATGACCGGTGAAACGTCTAAGAAAAATACAGCGAGCCCAGTTGCCTCGACATTTTTTTTTTTTTTTACAGATAGAGCTGAAAGTCGCTTGAAAGGCATCAAGTAAACCACACGGAGCTTGTGGAAAGCCACGCCAATACTTGAACAGCAAACTGCCCTTACACAGACCCATGCCCATGTGCACAAGGGCCTTCGTTCCCTTCCAGCACCGGGCCCGATGAACCTTCGTACGGAGCCATAAAAACCACAGGTCAAGTATCACAATGTTTATTGATAGATACAAGTATATAAAATCAGGGCATGAACATGACTTGATAAATTAAGTAGACTTAATTTCAATACTATAATAAAGGAGGACCAATTCATTTGCTCACCATTTTAAGCATCACACCCACAAATAACCACGTATCTCAGGGTAGCCATCAATCTCTCAAAACGGGAGCAGTTTCCTTTGTGCAAGTTATATAATTTTATTTTTTTTTCCATTTTTTTTTTTTATATTTACTAGTACGGTAACATCCATGAATTACAGTTAAAGGATTTTTTTCTGTAACAACCAAATCGAGAATCAGATATTGCAACAAGTCAAGTGTTACACTGAGCAAAGTGCATCTCTACAGTATTCTTCAGTGTTGCGAAATCATTTCGGCAGCTAAAGTCGTCCTCGCCAGAGAGAGAGACAGCGTTCGTGTTTTTTTTTGTTTTGAGAACATAGGATGTAATTATTGCATGCTGCTAATAACACAGATCTAAACATTACAGATACTCTAAAAATATTGCATGGCTGACTATGATTAAGACATTACACTTAAAACTTCTTCTTTGAAGCAGAAGGAATCCTAAATAGACATGCCTCTGCATTTACAGATTGCCAAAATGTTACAGCGGAATGGATTTTTTTTTCGCAGTGGTTAGGTCAAAACGCAAAATTTAATTCATAGCAACAGTGTCTGCACAACGTTTAAGGCTTTGGCTGGTTCTTTAGTCGGCTTCTTCCTCAGATTCCTCCTCTTCAGCGGTCTCCAGCCAGGTCAGCCATTGGTTCACCTGCAAAAAGAAAAAAAAAAGGTCAACAGCGTTACACCGAGCCTCTGAGGCCGTGTTTTGCCTGTAAACTTCATAACAGGAGCCAGACAACAATTGGTGGTAAAATGTCAAAGGTCATCTAACCAATTAACCCCAGAACTGCATCTGCTGACCTCAATAGATGCAATGAGTCTTAAAGTGACACTGTCCTGAGGAGAGTAAAAGCTGCCCATACACCTTACAACCATCGCAAGACTTTTGTCCTGCGATGGTTGTAAGCTAATTAAAAGCTCGTACGATCTGACCATCTTGGACAGGGAGATCGTACTTGCGATGATTGAATGATCCGATGATTGCAATGCTGAACGGGCAGTGTGCGTCTGCGCACACCGGACCGTTCCGCAGTTGTCGAACGAGCACGCCACACACCCACCGACAATCGTACGATTCTCGGCGGGTTTTTCTAGCATGCTCCGACAAAAGGTGTGACGTACAGTAGAAGCGGTCGCACGCCTCCCATACGCCTTGCGATTATCGTACAATTGCAGGATTTCCCACGATTATCGTACGATAAATCGCAAGGTGTATGGGCACCTTAAGGGTGGCCATCACCAGGGACACATGAAAGCAGAATGGGGCCATAGGCAAGGTGGCAGCTTTGCCCCAACTGCACTATGGCCCTGTCAGACACCAACTGCCTACCAGTACATCACTTAAGGGAGCACAGCTTTGACCAAATGCTTCAGATACTGAAAAGTTATACCTTTAAAATCAGTAATGAGGCAAAACCCCAAAGCTCAGTATAGCATTGTTCAGAAGAAAATGCTTTGCAATCAACCGTAAAAAAAATAAAAAAGTTACTAAAACACAATTATGTGAACCGGCTTGCTGCCTATATTCTGAATGCGGCTGCAGTAAGCTCTTATTCACAGAATAATTGTATGGTGCCATAGTCGTAACATTATAATACTTATACGCCACATTCATCCCAAAATAGCCGAGAAAGCAATGTCTGTACAGCAGTTACATAATAGTCAAATATCATCCTTCCTGAACAAGCGTGAGTCACATTTCTAGTTGAGCTGTCGATTCAGGGCAGGGTAACCCCATCTCCCGATAGGCCACCCTGCCATCCACACTGCTCCCACCCCTCCCCATGCAAGATAAATGCCCCATACACCCTCCATCTCACAGCCTTCCCGCATCACAGCCTTCTCCTGTGGACAGTGTTTAGGGCCTGCTGATTGGCTGTTAAGCAACATGGAAAAGGGTTGCATGCTCCCCTATACCTGGAATCCCCACGCCATTACAGTAACAGAGCCTGGGTGGGAGTGTATATCCTTGTTTGGGGAAGGGGGGGGTTTGGATGATCAGAAGGCACTGTCACCGAATGGGCAAAGTGACAGTCTTCATATACTGTACAATTTCATGCAGCAAGTCTGCTTTAGTCACGCTCTTCAAGCAGGACAGCCCCAGGAAGCAAAGACTAGACCAGTACTTCTGGGTAGGACAGCACAGAGCAGTCAGCAATGTCTTTCACAATGCATAAAAAGTACTCCTTGAGGGACTAATGGCTTATATAAGGGCAGCTTCTCCTGGCCCCGGTAGCTGAACATTACACTTGGAAGGGGAGAAATACTTTGCCCTGAATGGACAAGTTACAGGGTTACCAAAGCACGCCACTATAATTTACCTGGAATAAAGCTTTTCCTTTCCCTGGAAACTCCTGTATAATATCTTCCTTCCATGCCAAGAAAGCTTCTTCTTCTATTATCTCCATGTCATAGAAATGGACATAAAAGCGGAGCAACATGCCTGTAAGAGGAGCACACGTGTGAATATCAGAGCAGACACGGCTGCCATAGAGAAGCGGAGGGCGCAGGAAGTGGCAGTCGTACCTTTAGGGAAGTTTTTACTGTAGCAGTGCACCTGGAGTGCATACAAGGCGCTGACTTGCAGGTCAACATGGTCATGGAGGAACTTCTGCATCACCGGCTTGAAGGACAGCAACAGCTGCTTCTCCGCTTCCAGCTGCTCTTTAGATGGTGCTCCCGCCAGTTCCACATCATCCGTTGGGCAAACCTCATTAGAAATATACTGTAAAAAGCTGAAAGACACAACGGGTCGAGGGGTTTAGCCTTCGCCTATGGCCTCTGCAAGTTATTGTGTCATCTAGGGCATATGCGACACATGCAAAGCCCAATTATCGGGGTCGTTTTAGGGATCTGTATTCAGTGCTTCTTCTGCACAATGCACGCTAACTGCGTCTATTTGTCCTGAGCACATTAGTGCGGCTCTAAATGTTACCATCAGAAAAATTATTTTTGGGCTTGATCCCACCATATCCGTTCTGCTGCATTTTTCTACACACCCCTGCATATGTATGGTGTGGATAGGACACATAGAAAACCATTGTTATATGTGCCCTGTTCACACCGTGTGTTGTGGCGTGCAGAAAAGCCGTTCATTGTGAACAAGCCTTAAAGACGGTCCACAGACTGCCTCCGATGAGTCTTAGACCCCGTTCACATTGAGCGATTTATCGCGCTGCAATGCAATCCAATGGGGCAAAGGGTCCTGCTGTCGCGGGTCGTGTGTCGCTACAGCAGGACGCTTTTTGGAGCGGATTTAGCCGCGATTCAAGCTTGCTCAATGCAAGCTTGAACGCGACATCGCGCTGCAAATCTCGCAATGTTGCGCAATATGCAAATTGCGCGACAAACGCGCGATTTGCATATCGCGCAGTGGGAACGGGGCCTTAAGAAGGTATTTAGGTGTGCGAAAGAGCACCTTCATTTGGTATACAATGCATTTCACAACTAGGGGCCGGATAGAATAATCAGTAAAACTGCAGAATCACCAGGTCATTTATATCCATAAGCTACGAGTAATGATCATATATATATATATATATATGGAATGTGCATTTGTGGTGTGAAATATGCATTATTGTTTTTTTATTTTTGACTAAAGATACACTTCAAGCAGATGACGAAACATGACAGACCTGTGCTGGGTCCTACAATGAACACAAAGTGGCAAAGCCATGAGGGGGGCAAATCTAAGTGTCTACAGATTTAACCCCAAAAGCTCGATGTTCCATCACAAACCAAGTTTGAGGGTTCTATGGATTTTATAACAGCCCAAATCCAAGTCAGACCAGGGAGGGAGGGGGGGAGACCGCATGTCAAACACAGTAAATGATCTTGGAGAAGTCTCAAACGGATGTCAAATGCATCTAGGAGCAAGCAGCTTCCCCTTAAGTACCTGTATTAAAGAGAACTATGGGGTAACCTTTTCATCTCATAGTTCTCTTTAGGGTCACGGGAGGACATATACTAGCATCTTCCCGTGACCCAAAGCTCAGTATATAGCGAGCTACAGCTTCTCTATATACTGAGACCACCGCAGCCGGGACGGATCCTGACAATACTGTTGAGATCCACCCAGATGTGAGTGACAGCTGGTTCTGCCCATCTAGAGAGAGCCAGCTGTGCCCACCCCTCCCCCGTCCGTTCCTCCAGTCAGCGCTGGAGGATCAGAGCGGGAGGGAACCCTGCAGGGAGCCGCAGCTTACCGTCACCGTTCTATGCAGGAAAATGATCGGAAAGTGAGCGAGCGATGGTATGTGTTCGCTCACTTCCCGATCTAATGAGCCGACGTGCGAGTTTCATTGTCACAGGTCGGCTCGAACTATGAGGCAGAGTTAAAAAAACCTCCTCATAGTTCTCTTTTAAGAGTCCTGACCAGGGAGATTCAGGACTCATCATTACTACACTAGACAGAAACCGTGTGTCCCCCTTCAGTACCTTTTCCTTCATATGGACTACGTGACTATTCGCACCATAGCAGCTAAACACGTCCCCCATCCCCATTCTATGACTCAAGCCCCTAGAAGAATACAGCGCGAGCATATTCTCACCTGGTCATCAAAATATTCACAAATCCTTTATCTACATGAAGTTTAGGAGAGATGTTATCCTTGATCCACTTGTAGATGGTCTGTGGAGAAGGATCCATCTCTATTTGCTTAAGTAACTCTTTCTCCAGTTTCATCAGCGGAAACAAGAAGCTCAGACCTTTCCCTTCCAGGATCTCCAGCATGCGGTCTTTGTTCTGGTCGATTTCTATAGAGGAGTAAGATTAGTGATTAGGCAAAGCCGGCGATGGAAAGACATGAGCATTGGTTTCCCTGGTGGGTCGGAGGCAGCTCTTACCTGGTAACATCTTCTGCATGTTCACTTTGCTCTGCTGGAAGAGATCGGTCAGCCAATCTTTGTCCTTCAGTTTGGCCAGTTGCTGCAGGCACAGCAGGAACAGAGGGAAGTGGGTGCCGTTCTCCAGAGGCTGGGCCAGTTCGGAAATGCTCACCAGCTCTGCTATTATGGCGCGGGCTGCGAATTGTGCCAGGTAGGATTTCACCAGGGGTGTGTCAACCTCCAGCTTGGGGCACTGGTCTAGCACAGTCAAAAAAGCCTGAAAACACACAAAAAAAAAACGTCAAAGTGGTGAAAACAAAAAGCAAGCAATTCAAAAGCAACACATGCGGATTTCAGCAATTTACCTGCATGAAGTTGTCGCTGGTCGCCACTCCCTCTTGACGCAATATACCGATCAGTGCACTGGCGCGCTCCTTGTCTTCGTCAGAGCGGTCTAGGGATTGCAGGACGATCCGGCTAATCATTTCCGGGATGAAGTGTTTAGGAGCTCTCATTTCTTTCACGCTGTTTATGGCATCTGCCGCGTTTCCGTTATTCAAGTACTCAGTCACAAATGCTTCCTGAAATACAGAGCCACATGGAGTCACGCATTCAGTTCATAACGTACAGTACACAGACCAAGCTCCTTGCAGAACTGTCCTATAATGCCGTTCCAACAGATTTGCCACTAAACCAAAAGGGCAGCCAACCAGGTACAGAACTAGAATACATTTAACTCATCGAAAGCCAATATATAGTTCAGTGGTGGTCCACTTTCTTGATACAGGGGGCCTCCGGTGCCCCTGACAAATCACCCAAGGCCCACACAATCAGTGAATGCAATTTTGCAAAAGACTGACAGCAGCCATGCTAGAGGGCAGATGCAGACTACCTGCTTGCTACAAGAGATGACCAGAGACTGAACATGTCATAGGGGTTTGTTTAGTCTGCAGACATGATTTAGGAGACCTATACAGTTAACATTACATGAGCATGTTAGCAATCACTGTTACTACAGGGCAATAAGACACAGAATGCCTGCAGGCCACCAGAGGGCCACACAATGCCCCCAGGATGCAGCTTGGTACCAGGGGTAGAATTTCTGTAATATCTAGTTCTGTATTCTTTCCCCAATAACAGCCCGGGTGACACTTCCCTTCATGCCAGTGAAGTCACTTCATTTCCAACCAGAATCAACTTCCTGGTTTAGTAAAAGGACATGTCCAGCTTGAAAAACCCAAATAATGGAGCATCTGCAACCTGGCCATTTGGAGTCCCTTTGGGAACTTTGCACACGTTTTCCCCGGGGTATCCACATCCTCCTACTTTTATAACACAGCAAAGTTCTTGCACACTAAAATTTGCTCGTCAGGGTGATCATCTCATAACTGAAGCAATGCTTCCAAACTCCTAAAGACAGAGCTGCCAGCTATAAAGCCCTGTTATAAAGGAAGGTGGTCAGCGTGTGGCTTATAACTGCAGATACCAAATTAAGTCAATTCAGTCCAATGCTTACAGTAAGTTTAAGTAGCTCTTCCCTCGATGGTGGAGGCTTCTTGACAATCTTGGCAGGTTTCTCTTGGATGGGTGGTGGGTTGGTTTTTAGGCCAAGCTGTGGTGTCTGTGAAATAAGAGATAAGTTAGCAACTTCAAAAAAGGGAAAAAAACTAAACTAAAAAACACAATAGGAATGGGCCTCAGACTTCTCACCTGTCCCATGGGTGGTGTCTGGGTACGAGGCGGCATCATGCTCATCTGAGGCTGGAGCTTTGGCACTTGCGTCTTGTTCATTAGGAAAGACTGAGCTGGTCTCAGGCTTATCTGGAGGACGAGAAGGGAAAAGGTTAACTCCACAAAAAACCCAACCGATCAGACAACCCTGCCTGTGGTACAATCAGCCCTCATATCTCATAATCTTGCTCAGTGGACACTGGTCACTCTGAAAAGGCAGACAGATACCGGGCGACAAGAAGAACCCCGCCATTAGGCGGTACGTACCTCGTCCGCGTTAAGCTGGCCTTTTTTAATAAACCGAGGGGGCATATCCTTTGACTGCCCTTGTTGCGATAAGAGCCCCTGACTCTGGTACAGCTGGCCTTGCCCCTTTTAAAAAGAGATGAAGATAAAATTAGACGTCAGCGACCAGAACATTACATGAAGTTTTCCTAGAAACCCACAGAATTCCCTGCAAGCTTGTCACTGTCTTTCTTCCTAGAAGAGCCAATATTTAGAACGTAACCCAATTACCTACAAGCTATATACGCTAGCAGCTCCTCCAGAGTCCAGATTTGGTTAATTACAGCCAAGGATTATTCATCAGCAGACCTCCCAATTAGCTGAGCCATATCAGTCGCCTCTCAAGGCTGGATAGTCAGAGGCAGATGATTTGACAAACATTGGGAACGGTGTAATGCGCGTCTGCTCCATCGCCCGTCGAGCGCAGGATTTTATGGTCTGCTCCAAGCTCAGCTGACGGGTAGATGTGACTTGTGTGCAAAGTGGCTTGTAGAGATTGTGCTGGAAATTCTAAACGGGCACTTCAGAGACAAAATGTTCCTTAAATAGCCTTTCAAGGAAACACTACGCAGCTTTCACGTCACAAGCGGCACTATTGTGAAACCATATAACCCCTCAAGTAGCAAGAGTCAAGCCTTCTGCTGGTAAACATGACGCCCGGCGGACTCAAAGCCCTGCAAATGGACTTTATCAAAATCAATTTGGTCTTATGTAGACTGCTGATGCTTTTAAGAATGCTTGGTTCCTGGCTGTCTCATTAATGACACTTCAATGCTTTGAGCTACTGAGCTGGGGCAAGTACAGTAAACTCAGTTATTCGGCATTTAACCAGAAAAATAGCATCTATATTCACCGTTTTCCTGATCTGGGGCATGTATAATGATCGTGTGTCTATTTGACTTACATTTTCTTTTGATTACTGCATTTCATTAATAATATGAAGTCATTACAGAGTGTATGGGGTATAGCATTAGTTAGACCCATTTTTAATAGATACTCTCAAGCAACCAGAAACTACATGTATTCAGAATCTACCAATCCCCGTGGATGCCGGATAACAGGGAGTTTACTGTATAGAGTTACATAATGCAGACAAGTCACATTTCTATCACAAGCATGCTGTGTGACAGCGGTGGGGCAATTGCGGTCCTCCAGCTGTTGTGGAACTACAAGCCCCATGAGACATTGCAATACTGACAGGAATGCCTGGATTTGGAGTTCAAGCATAGCTGGAGGGCAGGCATTGCCCACCCATGCTGTATGAGAATGTATTGGAGCCAGCCAGGCAACTTGCAGCTTCAGTATTCCAGGAAAAGCAATACTGATTATTTTCTCATAACAGGAGTACATTAAGCTTCAAGTGGACTTTGAAAGCAAAAAAAATCACAACATCACATAGTGAACCCAGGTGGAAGGGGCCACTTGGGTATAACCAACAAAGTGTCCAAAGCTATGCCAATTTAGGACTAGCTAGCTGGAGGGGAGCAATTCACAGCAAGTACAAAAATGCAACACAATCCTGCTAGCCAGGCAAACTACAACGCCACAAGTACCGATTACTTCTATGATAGTAGGGTAACTTTAGCAATGAGCCCCAATGGTGAGGCCAAGTGTAAACTGACATTTGGAAATGTGGATAACAAGCAAGTACTTCATTGTATACATTACACAGTTCTCTGAGATGTTTAAAAAGGACTGAGTGCTGGATCTGAACCACACAGTCCATTTAACAGTAGGTAGAAATCTTAAATGGAACATACGAAAATAAATTCTCACCTGGCTTTTCATAAAAGGTTTGCCTCCAATTTCACCAAACTGGGACTGTACAGGAGGTATGATATGCCCACCATGCCCATTGAACAACTGATTTGAACGATGACGTCCCATGGTTGGGGAGAACCTGTCCTGTATAACCCCTGGACCAGTACCAATACCACTGCCTGTAGATCAGATAAGACCATGGTAAGCAGGAGCATGTAGAAAATAAAATGGCGACTTGAATTACACACAAGGCCTTGCTACATACCTGGCATCTGTCTAAACATGTCAGCAAGTCCTCCAAGTGGGTCCCTATCAAGCTTCATTCGTGGTGGCATGAACGGCCCTTCCAAAAAGAAGTCAGTTCGCATTCCTTGTGACATTGGAGGAGGAATGAAGACTCCTAGATCCTGGTGAGGAAAGAGATATTATATACAATGACCTTACATTGAAATTTTGCCGCAAGACAGATTATGCAGAACACCATCACTCACTTTCACTGCATCTTGGTGGATTTGATTGATAGTCTTTGGTCCATTATCATTGAAAGCTTTGCGAGGAACCCAACCGTTTCCTCGCAACTCCCCAGTATCCTGCAGGAAAAGAGCAAGAAGAAGATCTCAGCACATTGCTTGGGAATGAACTAGCTTTTAAGTAAAACCTTAAATGCATAATGTTCTCCCCATACGCCAATCTCACCAATGATTAACAGATTGATACAGTACATCATACATTAGGGATGCATTGATACCAGGTATTTCAGTATCTGAAATCGGCTAGCCAGGTAGTGAGTCATTACTCGCCGCCCTGATTGGCTAGGAAAACAGCTCCATGTTCCCTCATGGCACTGCCAGTCAGAGGAAATCTCCCTCTGACCAGAAGTTCCAGTATCGGGGAAGGTATCCGAGCATCCCCATCATACACCAGTCCCATCTCGTCTCTATTAAACATCTTAGGGAGAGATGACGACTAGTGCTTTGGTCTACAAAATAAGTTTTATTCAAAGACTGCAAGCCATCGTTTTTAGTAAGCTTCTAAAACAAAAAGTTGTAGAAATTCCAAAATTTGTAAAACACTTACTTGCAGCAGGAAACGAATCCTTGCTGGCAAATCATTACAAGACTTCAAGGCGCACATCCGGGCAAAGTACTGATCCATTAAGGACTAGAAAACAAGACATTACAATATTAGGATGCATTTCCAGACACAGACTATGGGGGAGGTCCATTTATAAATGTTGCACCCAAGATTCACACATTTCTCCTAATGGAGCCAATTGGAAAGGAACATCAATTCTGAGAGTAAGTTGTGAGAATCTTGTGTGAAAAGATTTATAAAATAGACTGATTTGTGATGCAAATATTGCACATAGGTACCTTGGCTTTTTCATGGTCTAATCTAGGCCCCACAGTCCTCATTATCTGACAGAGACACTCCAAATCCTCTCCCATGTCTTTAAGCTGGACCCTCTTCTTCTTTTCCAAAAGCTATGAAAAAGGGAAAAACCATCCATCAGAAAACAAAATACATATACTTACAAGTACAAGATCCATTCACATATTCAGGTTAACACCAGCGTTTTAAAACAGAACTCCAGGATGCGGCCCATTTTGAACCCCTAAAAAATCAACCCACCCCAACCCTCCAATGCACATGAAAGTTGCTGTAAAATGTTTTAAAATGCCTTCCTTTTTAAGTTATGATTTTCTCCCTTGTGAAAAAAGTGTACCGTTCCCAGGCACAGATCTGCATTTACCACAGGGAAAGGGGAGACTACATTTGCATGATTTAAGGGGAGCACTGATTAGCAAATGTTTCCAGCTGCATACATGTGCACATCTGCCAATCTAGTGCTGTGGGCAGGTCACACCAGCCCACAGAAAACACAGCAACTAAACCTGTCACCATGAATCCGTTAGGATGTGCAGATCTGGGTGCTGGGGGGGGGAAGTGTAAATGGACTACAAGGGGGATTGCTGGTGTGCAGTCCTTCTGCCGTGGTGGCAAACAGACATGTAGTAATAACCAAGAGTGATCCCAGTGAATAGATGGGATTGTGTGGATGGAGCCACGCTGAATTAAAGAGATTAAAAGACCCTGCTAGACTCGGGTAAGGGTTATGCCAACAAAGCTGGTTTGTGCACAGTGATGGGTTCCCTCCTTTAGTCAATTTTTGCTTTGTGGTTGTGCTGTTTAAAGCGGACCTTTACCCCATATCTTTAAAAACCCACTTCTAGAATTGTTTAATATTGACTATATACAAACACTCTTCTAGATAACTGTCGGCTTTGTATACCTTTTTTCTCTTTTCTTCCCTAGTCTTCTGGCAGCAGCCATGTTTACTAAGGGCAGATTACCAGCTCTCCTTTTACTTCCTGATTTCTGGCACATGCGACTAGACATGTGACTATGCACATCACAGGGGAGGAAAATGCCTTTCACTGAAGAGACTTCCCAGCAATGCTCTGCTGATAAGGCAATCCCAGTGTGCATTGTGTTGGTGAACTGAAGTCATTTTGCACTTTCAAAGCAGGAAGTGAATGTTCTGCAAGTGTAAGTATTTCATAGTCACAGCATTTTACAGCTGACATGTCTATGTTATTATTAATAGTCATATATAGGAGGGATGCAATGGTAGAATTTGAGTGTGAAGGTCCGCTTTAAGATATTGCTATTCTGTGTTGAACATAAACCAGACGTCTCGCTCTACTTACTGTTTTGATGCACTTATGAAGGATAGATTCATGAATAAGGTCAAGCTTGCCAAGCTCGCCAATAAATTTGATGTTTCCCAGCATCTTAAGCTTAGCAATGTTTCTCTGTTCCTCTTCTTCAGGGAGGAGAGGGCTGTCTCGCTTGTCATATACTGTACAAAAACAGAAAAAAGGCGTCACACTTGTGTTCAAGGCTCAAATATTTAACCGCAGAGACACCTCTAACAAGCACTTACCCTCAACATTTCTGGATCTGTTCTCAAACTCATCTTGAAGTTTTGAAATTAGGAGGCGTCTAAACGTCTGGAGAGAGGAAGAGATCGTATATTAAGACTCCGAAGCATGTGAACGCTCAACATTGGAGAAGTCTAGAAAAGAGAAAGTTGAAGACTTACTGTGCTTTGCTTCTGCCCTGGCTGACCGTCTGGACCGTCAAAGTTTGGCGCATCTTCTGCTAATCGCAGACATAGCTGAGCGTAGAGTGAGCTGTACTTTGGCTCTTCGAGGGCTTTGTCTACAATCTACAAAAGTAGAAACAGAATACTACATTGAATATGCCATTGTTCGGGGTTGTACTGTAATTATACAACAAGCTATAGCCATCAATACTGCGATGGAATGATGAGTCTTCTGACAAGGAAAGTGTTGGCACTTCCTTATGTAGGGGCTTTTGCTCCCCTTGGCCAGTGAGGCAACAGTTATGATGGATGACAATAGGAGGGTGCTGGGGCAGGACATTGTTACGTCGGAGCTTAGCACTAAGTGTCAGACATGGTATTGAGGTGCAGGCACCTCTGGCAGAATAGTTAATTGTGCACACATAAAAAAAAAAAAAGGCAAAATAAATGAACACTTCTTCCTCTAAAATCTCCGAGCTTTTCAACTAGAAGTCAGACATCCAAATATATCATATATCATTGTAATCCAACAAAAACATTTCCAACAAATCAGCTCTTTCTACACATGCCTCTAAAGTCATTAAAATAAAGGCAGGAAAAGTTCTGATTGAACAAAATTTTGTGTGCATGTTCCTTAACCCATACACATCGGATTTCAGAAAATCAGTTAAAGCTCAACTCCGGGATAAGCAAATATTGTCTACATACATACTTGAATGTTGGTCTGCTTTCAGTAGTTCTCTGATCAGTGTAGTATTTCAGTGTGAAATTACCTCTGCAGAAGCTTCCTGTAATAAAGACCGGTCACTGCTGCTCTCTCTCCTTGTGCAGGGTGACTGGTCTTCTCCCTGCCCCCTCCTGTAATAAAGACCGCTCACTGCTGCTCTCTCTCCTTGTGCAGGGTGACTGGTCTCATCTCTGCCCCTCCTGTAATAAAGACTGCTCACTGCTGCTCTCTCTCCTTGTGCAGGGTGACTGGTCTCATCTCTGCCCCTCCTGTAATAAAGACCGCTCACTGCTGTTCTCTCTCCTTGTGCATGGTGACTGGTCTCATCTCTGCCCCTCCTGTAATAAAGACTGCTCACTGCTGTTCTCTCTCCTTGTGCATGGTGACTGGTCTTGTCCCTGCCCCCTCCTGTAATCTCCAGGCAGCCAGTCATAGATGGACCTGTTGTGCCCTTCTCACAGCTCCGCTCAGGTTATGTAGAGCACATTGATTGTCAATGCTACTTTTACAAGGTAAGCACATGGCAGTGGCATTTGGCGTACACAAAGTGGATTTATATCCTTTGTTCATTTAAATATATTCCTCGATAGCCACAATTCGGGCCCGAAATTGAGCTTTAAAATGAGTTACTATGTGTTACAGCACATCACTGCCTCAGTGAACAGATGCACGTTTTATCTTTCTCCCACAATACAGATTAACATATCAGGATCATGTGGTCACTTACAAGCAGTATGATTCCTTTGAGGATGAGTTTGGACTCTACACCCACATTAAGGAGCTCAAGGCATAGTTTTTCAAACTTCTCCGGGGCAAGCTTGTTTAAGATGCTGGAAGATAAAAAGAGACAAAGTTTAAATGAGTAACTGCTTCACCAGCATGTAGCACAGAGGCCACCCACCAGCCAATCTCCCACCCCAGTATGTAGAACAGTGGCCACCCACCAGCCAATGTCCCACCCCAGTATGTAGAACAGTGGCCACCCACTGGCCAATATCCCAACAGTATGTAGAACAGTGGTCACATGCACTTCCCGCAAGCCTTTGAGCAGTTGCTCATATTTGAACACTGGCACTTTGTATTAGCTGTGGTGCACGGAAAGTTGATGCTGAACCTTTACACATATTCCCCAGATAAGGAGACAGATTTATAATACTGCAGATTAGAATTTCAGACCTTTTAAAATTGCAAAAATTGAGTTCTAGGCACACGGTTCTATAGAATTTCAGCCCTCCATTTTCTCCGCATGACCTTTCCTCAGTTTAAAGTATGTGCAAATACGCTGTAGGGACTTTCCTAAGATTGTTTTAAGAGTTTAACAATGTTAAAAGTAAAAGATAGATTTGGCACTCCCATGGGTGTTCCTGGAAGCTCGCCTACCTTGCTGGCAAACCTAGGCGAGGGAACTGGGCTTCCCCATAACCCATCAGTCAACCAATATACATGCTGCACTCAAGAATAGCGGTAGATAGAGGCCTTCCTTGTTACTCTTCCAGTTACATTGAATTGTGTTGGTTCATTCTTGGTGGGATCCTCACTGGGTGATGTGTCTAAGGCAGAGGCAGGCAAACTGTAGTGAAACTACAAATTCCATTATGCATCTGCCTCTGGGAGTCATGCCTGTGGCTGTGGGCATTTTGCAATACCTAATGGCATTTGTAGCTGCACCACAGCTGGAGGGCCAGAGTTGGCCCAGCCCTAAGAAAACTATATGGATGCTCAATCCTTTCTGGTACAGAATTTTCTCTGAACAATGATATCCCTACACTACAATCTATATTCCTAGACTAATGGGGGGGAACTTCAGCCAGACATTTGAGTCCCTGGAAGATTCTCCTTCACTTACCTACAGACAATGCCCTGGGGGACAATAGCACAGGTCTGACAAGGATATGAGCAATTCTTGCACTTTGGCTTCCTGTCTGGTGGTGAACACTTCAACATATGTAGCCAATATTAAAATGCCATTTTGGCCCAACCAATCACCTTTCGTCCTGGTCACTTACCCTCTTACTTTCCTAAAGATTGCATCGTGCCGTTCTTTTTCACTTTGCGAGGTGAGCGCAGTGTTGTTGGCGGAGTTGTTGGCGGAGTTAACATCTCGTCTAGTGCTTCGTGAAGGAATCCATCTTGGAACGCCAGGCCCTGGGGTTTTCCCCAGGTACTCGCTGAAAAAGCACACGCAAGCGTCAGAACCATAATAGAGAAAAACCATTTACAAAAGACAATTTATTCTTATCCATCTGTACAATGCCCTGAAGTGGATCCTAAACAAAAAAAAAAGGGGGACAGAAGGCATGCAAGCATTTATTTCTGAACATTTACACCCATGTTTTTTTCTTTACCTATTAAAATGGACCAAACTTGGGGACAGGTCACGAATTGAGTTCAATACCCCTTTTAGGGAAAAACCCACAGCAAGAGAATGGGAATGTAGGTCACTACAAGCAAGTTTAGATACTACACAACCTGCACTAGTAAGAACATAGATCGGCTGCTACGGGCAACTCCACCACTTATACATTTTCCTCTTTAAGGATCAATAAAGCGGACTAATAAAATATATGCTGGTCAATCACGTGTAGCAATATAGAGTCATTTCATTTTCATTCCTTTACATTTTCTCCCAATTTTCATGCAGCTCATGCCGTCATGCAAGAGTAACAGTTATGGAGTTTGCATGTTCCCCCTGTGCTTGTATGGGTTCCCTCCAGATACTCCCGTTTCCTCCCACACGCCAAAGGCATGCTGGAAGGTTAATTGGCCCCATTATGTATGCAAGAGAAAGGAACCTTAGATTGCAAGCTCCTTGAATACAGGGACTGATGTGAATGTGCAATGGGTAAAGTGCTGCGTAAATGGTCAGCGCTATATAAACACTCAGGGATGAGCTTTACCCCCATCCAAAAGGGAAAAAAACACTAGCTAGGATTATCTATAATTTGTGGCTTAAGCTCCACCTAAAACTACCATGTCCACAGGGTGACAACACTGCAGAATGAACAACGTTGTCATGCCGCTGAAGTCACATTTTCTGGCAGTAGCAACAGGCAAAACCATGTTACGGGGGGACTCAAATCTGCATCAGTATTACTGAGGCCTTGATCACTTTTTGACCTCAAATTTGCATCTCACAGGTTACAGGGTACAAGCAAGGTTTCCCTTCACAATAGCTTCTCCTGGGAGATGAAAATTAAGCAACACAGGATAAGCTCTTATTATTTACACACTATGAATACTGCCTGTAGTGTAACAAGCCAATTTTTAGTTGGCAAAATAAAAATATAGTAACTGTACTGATAAGTTTCTAGAGGTTTAAAGACCCAGCCATTAAACAGTATGTATCCTCATCATGAAAGGCCACTTTTACCACCAATAAATTAAAATAAAAGCTGAAAGAAGTGGCCCTTTTCACAAAATATAACTCCACGGTAACGTGGAGAAGTTCAGTGCACCGTTTTAATTTCCGAGTATACACACCAGCGTTTCCGCTCGGCTGGGATTTTGTGCGATACAGGCGCACAACCCGCTGAGTCCGCTTCGCCTGACGCGCGCTGCATGCAAATGCACGACGCGCAGACGCTTTACAGAAATACTGCGCTCGCAACTGGGGGAGGGGGAGGAGCTGTTTGGGCCTCTCAGACGATCTTCTGGGGGCTGGTAATGCCACCCGGTCAAAATCCTGTCAAAACACTGCCGGATCAGAGCTTTCGGACCTGCCAACGAGCAAAATGTGGGAAAAAAAGCCAAAATGAGGGACACATGCTGGAAATTTTAGATGTATTATATATAAGAAAGAAAAACACTGGGCCCCCCTCCCCATTAAATGTATCTTATGACACACTGCCAATAATGTGATTATGTCTGCTACAAAAATGCAACAGTACCACAGATATAACTACTATACGTATGTAGTCCTTTGTATGGTTCAGCATTACACATATAGGAAAGGATTACTACAATTCAGCCCAGACCCAACCAAGAACACAGCACTTTATATATACTACAGTAACCCCACCCCGCACACAATCCAGATGGTTTATCAAAGATCTGTGATAATAAAGCTATGGTAGACATAACTGGTATACAAGTATAAATGAAGCCAGAGGGCAATGTTCCCTATACCTCCACCAATGACTATAGCAAGCACTGTGTCCAATTTACTATTAAGCGCACCCAATACCCTGAACCCCAGGCCATGCTAAAAAGCAAGTAATGACTCTGGCTGTAGGTGGCTTTCAGGCTTCAATGGTCGCCTGCATAGGTCAAAGGATAACATTTTTTTTTAAGGCTGAACTGAACCTGCCTGGACTTCTCGTACAAAGAACAATCTTTCTAAGATCACTTAGGTGTTCTCAACATTTTTAAAGACTTTTATGGTACCAGAGGCCTTCCGTCCAATATAAAGTGAGCGGAGCTGTGGCAGAAGTTATAGCCAGAATTGGGCAGCTAAGGGTCTAAGAAATTTCAGGTAGTAAGATAAGAAAAATCAGGAAACTTACCTGTTGCCAACAGTCTTGGTATAGTGCAGAGAGGCACCCCTACCTCCTCCACCTGACGAAGCACTGCAAACAGAAGAAAAATTGTTTTTAGGCGTCAGCCAGGAATACATAGAATGCACATTGTTAGAATAAAAAGTAATGCTTTGATTTTGTACCTTTAAAAAAAAGGAGACAAATTGCACCCCTGTGCCCTGACCTAACCTACCCGCCACCTGCAGAGAGAAGTACTTACCTCGATCAATGGCAGCGACCTCTGGCATTTGTTTACATCCAGCGCTGCAAGTCTCACCATCCTGTCCGCACCTACACACATTACAGCCCCGCAGACTTCTATAGGGCTGCAGGATAAGAGAAGTCACCAGCACTCCAATTGCGATACCAATAAGTCTTTATTGATGCACATTTACATTGTTACAAAAGTCAGGTTGAAGAAAAAAAAAAAAGAAAAAAAACACATGTCCATCGAGTTCAATCTATAGAGATAATTATCAAAGCAAAAGGACATTTCTGGGGCTGCACGGGGTACCCTTCATCTGGCAAACTATACAACATCGTTCGTCTGCTGGAGACCCTATGTGACCCAAAAATGTTGATTGCTTTGTGGTAATGTGAACATGCATCAGACATATTTGGTGATCATAATTGGAGTGACTTTCGGTATTCACCAACACAGCCCCAGTCGCTTGTCAATGCAGCACCCAACAGGGATTATATTGGGATTCTGTGGTCAGGAGTACAATGGGATTTGTGCAATAATTCTATAGGGCTGTGTACCAAGGCGGCTCCATAAAAGTCTGTGGAGCTGTTATGTGCAGAACAGAGACTTGCGGCTGTAAACCACCAGAGGCTGTGGCCATCTCATCACGCGAGTATGCATCTCCAGAAGGGGAGGGAGGTTAGCTTAGGTAATGGGGGGAGGGGCGGGGGAATGGATGGGTTAGGTTCCAGCAAAGGGATGATAATCTCGCTGATACTTCAAACTAGAAAAACTATCGATCTAAAAATGGAATACAAGTGGTTGCTGCAGACAGCACCTCTAATTCTCCTACTTGCCACCAAATAGAAAAATGGCGCAGAATTACCACAGGAAAACCAATTCTACATTTTTCGCTCTTTAAAAGGAAATAGTATTAGAAGTTTAGAAGAGGGGTAGGCAACCTCGGTACTTCAACTAAGGTGAAACTACATAGGACATCATGCATTTGCCTGTGGGAGTCACGCCTGTGGCTTCCAGAGTCTTGTAATGCCTCATGGGACTGATTGTTCGATTGCAGCTGGAGGGCCGAGCTTGGCTACCACTAGATCTAGAGTATTAAAAACTACCAAGTCCAGTTATGCATTAAAGTGACGCTAAACTCATGGGGTTAAAGCATGAAAAACACATTCAAGTACCTGAACTATTAACAACGTACCTTATTTGTGTATCACTCGGCTGTAGATCCTCCAATCATCTCTGAATTGGTGCTGACACTGTCCTTCCTTCTGGAGGGGCCCTACTTGTATTCCCCATGGTCCCTGTGTGTGTTGTAAAGTAGTCACCGCTCCAAGATTGCTCCAGGGATGGACTACAATCTCCATACAAATTAGTAAACTAAACATGAGATTGTAGTCCATCCCGGGGGGGAGCTTGAAACGGTGACTACTTTACAACACACACAGGGACCATGGGCAACAAAAGTAGCCCCCCTCCAGAAGGAAGGACAGTGTCAGCAGCAATTCAGAGATGATTGGAGGATCTACAGGCGAGTGATACACACATATAAGATACATTGTTAAAAAGGTACTAGAATGCATTTTTTAAGATTGAACGCCAGAGTTTCATGTCACTAACTCAGCAAAGCCCGATTCACGTGCTCCCAAATACAAAGTAACCTCTATGGCTTACCTGAAACGAGAAGCACCCCCTTCTGCAATCGCACTCTCCACTTTGGCGGCTTGATAACAAAGAATGTTCAAAAAAAAGAATAAATTCTCAATGGGCAGGGCGGGGAGAGGGACACGCGCTGAAAGAAAACAGAAAAGCTCGAATTAGTTTTGCAAGACAATACCAGAAGACATGCAAATGCGTCCGCAGCATTCCCCAAACAAACCCTTTTGTGCAGACCCTGTGTGATTTTTCTTGGCATGGAACTCGCCATTAGCATCCTGGCAGCACCGCAATGTTCTGACTACTATAAATACTGGCATGGAATTTTCTAAACTGTTGACACATACCGAACACGAAAAGTGAGAATACATTTTACTTAAGTCACAAAACCAACTGCTGGCCTCCAACGCTTGCCGTTCAGAGTGATGTCAACATGTCGATGTTGTGCAAGAACCCCTAAGACAGCATAAATACGGGGGTCCTGAATGATCGTCCAAATCGTCAAGTTGTAAAGTGTCAGAGCCCAAAATAACGAGTCTCAGGAATTCACCAGCTAGCTGAAATGACAAACCAAATTGAGGGACCAATTTTGGGTGGGTCGGTCATCAAGGCACCTATAGGGTAGTTCACCATTTTGCAGAGAATGTACATAGTCCATAAGCTGGATGCCAATGGACTGACCAGCAGCAATGAGCGCCAAGAGAGGAGATTGGCAATAAAGAAGCGCTCTTCTTTCAGCAAGCATGTATGATGTACTGGATACAGATAATGCAAGTTCTCAAAGCCATGGAGGGAAAGGACTACTCATAGGGCTATATCAGACACAGCCATGGGGAGAAAATTACTACTCATAGGACTATATCAGACACAGGGCCAGGGGGAGAAAAAGGACCATATAGACACACAGAGCCATGGGGGGAAAGGAAAGGAGTATGCATAGGACTGTATCAGACACAGCCATGGGGAGAAAAGACTATGCATGGGACTATATAGAGACACAGCCATGGGAGGAAAGGACTATGCATAGGACTAGATCAGACACAGCCATGGGGGGAAATGACTATGCATAGGACTATATCAGACACACAGAGCCATGGGGAGAAAGGACCATATAGACACAGCCATGGGGGGAAAGGAGTATGCATAGGACTATATCAGACACAGCCATGGGGAGAAAGGACTATGCATAGGACTATATCAGACACAGCCATGGGGAGAAAGGACTATGCATAGGACTATATAGAGACACAGCCATGGGGGAGAAAGGACTATGCATAGGACTATATAGAGACACAGCCATGGGGAGAAAGGACTATGCATAGGACTATATAGGAGACACAGCCATAGGGAGAAAGGACTATGCATAGGACTATATAGAGACACAGCCATGGGAGGAAAGGACTATGCATGGAACTATCAAACACAGCCATGGGGGGAAAGGAGTATGCATAGGACTATATCGGACACAGCCATGGGGAGAAAGGACTATGCATAGGACTATATCAGACACAGCCATGGGGGGAAAGGAGTATGCATAGGACTATATCAGACACAGCCATGGGGGGAAAGGAGTATGCATAGGACTATATCAGACACAGCCATGGGGAGAAACCAGGCTGCCCACAGACTAGCATTGGGAATCCGACCGGGTCCGCTGCAAAACAGACAGGCGTACCCGATCAGACCGCCTGTATGAAAGGGGCCTTAACCCTACCCCAGCACTTACCCTAAAATAACCCATTAATCCTCAACCCTTAAAAAAGACAGAGACCACTCAAACACACACCCATGAATAAAAAGAAATGTGCATTCATTGACGATTTGTATTCGAGCCTGCAAAGCATTGCAATCAGTGGATCGCGGGTGCAATGCTCTGGCTCCCGCAGACTCTTTCTCCTCTAAATTTTGCATAACTTTAAAAAGGAGCAACGACTGAAAAAAGGGTGAAGAGACAATGACTGCGTGTGTTAAGTTGTACTTTGCAGACATCTAAAGAGTTCCACAGATTGGGTTAAAAGAAAAGAATGATAAATGAAAAGCTGCATACACGCCCTATACCTACAGCTGATCCAGAGGCAGG